CTCTTCCGATCTCACGCACGCACGCACACGGACATACATTTAATGAGATTCAATTCTAGTTATCTTTAAAATTCTTCTTTATCGAGCTTAATCACGATTATTTTCCGATGAATTATTCCAAATTTAATTAAAAGATTTTTTTTTAAATTTGCATAACTCAGCGAAAAATAATCGTATCGAGATCGGCCAAAAAGCATTTTAATGGTAACACTCTTTTATGCATTTTGTTCCATTAGGCTGCGATGCCTGATTCACACCGTGCATCGTCGTAAACTCGGACCTTTGATTATCAATTTTTCATCTTCTCATTTTGCCATTCGCTATTTTGAAAAAAATAATAAATAATAAACTTTGAATATTGTTTAGGATCATGACCTTGACAACATATGTCATTAAAGGCTGCTTTTATTTTCATTTTTGAAAATTATTTTTATTTTTTGAAAAAAGTGGAGCAATTAACCTGCAGAGGAACAATTAACTGTGGAATGGGATATTTTGCGTCAGGCTGGTCACCTCTCCTTCCAAAAATTAATGCAATAGAAAAAACTGTTTGAAATCTCAAAATTTTCGTATACTTGTGTAGTTTTGAATGGAACATGCAGGCCTTTTGAAAAATTTAATATGGTGGCTCAAATATGGCGTCTAAAAGTCGCAAAAGTCGCAAATGATCTTACAGTATATCTTCTATTAAAATGCGAAAACTTCAGAAATCGGCTTGAAAATGATTATTATAAAGTTTTCGAGGTCGTTGATTACAAATCTAGAAACAATTACAAAATTAAAAATAGTGAATTTAAAATGACCGAATTTGGAATTAGTGCATAAAGCGTATTATAATTGTAGTTATGTCGAGTATAATACTCTATAATGACCATTGGTACATACAAAGACATCAGTGTAGCACATTATATTTGTAATTTTTTTCTTTAATGGAAAGTAAAGCATATTCACTTTAGATTTAGTTGCGGAGCTGTAGAAAATTGTTTTGCAAGAAATTTTTGAATTTTTATACAGTCAAACCTTGATAACTCGAACCTCTACAACTCGAAAACCTCTATAAGACGAAAATTTTGTTCATCTCCTTCCACTCCGCTGCGGAAAACCTCTATAATTCGAAATAAAACCTACCTTAACTCGAATTATTTGTCAGGCATTTAGATATATATTTTACCTCTGTAACTCGAATTTAAAGTAGTCAGACCTCTACAAGTCGAAATTCACCTCTATAAGTCGAACTTTCATTGTCGCTACTTCTATAATTCGAAGTTGTAGCTATGTGTAACCGTGAGTAATAGCTTGGTGTTTTGTTTTATGGTTACATTTATCATATATATGCAATAAATAATCACTGTTAAATATTGATTTTCTTCTTTTAAAAACCATTATAACTGGAAAATTATAAACTCATATAAAGCCTCCGTAAGTCGAATTTTCATATGATAACCCTCTTTTACTCGAATTTCGATAAGTCGAAAACTCAATAACTCAAACAATTTTTCTAGTCCCTTCCGAGATCCGAGTTATCGAGGTTCGACTGTATCTTTCTCTTTGTTTTCCTGGTTGAAAAATTGCAAATAATGTGTTACTCTGATGTCGTTGAACCAATTAGTCATTATAGAGTATTAGCACAGTATAACCAGTTGGTCCACTCAGCGAAAAACTGAGTCTTCGCGCAGCTATCGCCGCGCAACTTTTGTTTTGGATTGGATCCAATGAAATGCAAGACGATAGGAACGTACATACATATGTGCAGACAATTTATGAGCAATTACATCAGAAATTTTGTTTAGTGATCACTCCTATGAATACTTGTTACTAATAAAACGTTTTATTTGATTCACACATTGAATTTATTGATTTACTGTATCAAATCCATATTATTACTTATCTATTTTATTACTTGTGAGGCACTTTTCTCAATTCGGTCCTGGATTTAACATGGTGGATGCTTACGTGATCCGGAAAAGGAGATCAAAGGTGCCGAAGGAAGTAGACCTACTGGTTATACTGTGGTATTAGACTCAAATAGCAATTATTATACGCTTAATTATATAATGATTTTATATTCGGTCATATTAAATCCGCCATTTTAAATTTTGTAATTCTATTCGTAGATTTGTAATCAACGATTTCGTAAACTTTATAGTAATCATTTTTAAGCCAATTTCTGAAGTTTTCGTATTTTAATCAAAGACACTGTAAGATAATTCGTGATTTTTAGATGTTATATTTGAGCCGCCATATTGAATTTTTCAAAAGACTAAGTTCCTTTCAATATTACATAAGTATACGAATATTTTGAGACCTCAAACATTTTTTTTTCATTGCATTAATTTTTGGAAGGAGAGGTGGCCTGCTTGACGCAAAACGTCCCATATATAGGGGAAAGTGGGCATGAAAGAGCCAATTTTTTTTAAGAGATGAAAAGGATCATATTTAATCTGATATTAATAATTTAATATTAATAAAATAAAATTGCTTTGCAATATAACAGTA